GTGCACCAGTCACTTTCTGGTGCCTGAAGCTGCACCATTTAAGGTGGAATGGGAAAATTCAAACAAGAAGCTGGCTGATGCACCATTTAAGGTAGAGCAGGAAAATTCGAACAAGATGCTGGCAAATAAGAAGCTGACTTCAGGTTCATGTAAGAAGGTGCTAATGTTAGTCTATTATGAGTGTCTACATGGATTAAGGAATGCTGTAACTTACTGAGCTACAAAACATTAACCATCATTGTAAATAAATAACTACTACTAAAGTTAAGATCCCCTGAACAGACTATTAAATGAAATGAGAGGAAACAGAGGAAAAACAATCACATCAACAGGTTCTTTGTGTATTACTAACCACACGGTCATATCTACACATAAACATCACACAAACAATGCGAATCACACAAACATGAGCATGTATCATTGCTTTCCTTCTGTTATATAATCCCCGCTTTCTGAGTGCAACGTTCTTGAAACAGTATAATTTTGGACACTATCTTTCTTAAACCACCCCTCTGTAATGGTACTGAATGCAGTCCAGCAGCGATGACTGCTCCAAAATGGCGGTGCTGTTGACGTGCCTGGACAATGCAGCACAGTCCATTCGCCACCACCCACCACAGAATGCTGAACAGTGGACTTCTACTGACCTGCCACCCCTAACCAACTACTTTGATAGTAAGTGAGTCTATTATTAGAAACATTAAACATCACACAGCTGTTGTTTCTGTTGCAAAAATCTTGGACATTACACTGCAGCTTCCCAATCTTTAAAAAAAAACAAAAAAAAAAAACTGTACGGAAGATAATCATACATGTTTGAAGCAGTGATATCAGAGTTCAAAGCACAGAACTGTTAAAAAGAGACTTCACATCCTTACTGTCTTCTATAAAAGACTGCAGGAAAGCTGTTTTTATTTCTGGCCATTTTAGTTGCATTTTATACCTTCATAACTGGCTTCAAAACACCTGCCTCTGCACAGGCTTGACTTTTATTGACAATTTTAACCTCCTATGGACCCGGCCATCATTCTACAGATTCTACGGAATTCATCCAAACAGCTTTCAACGTAAGCGCAAAAGAAATGTCAATGAAGCAGACAAAATTAATGGTTTTATAAATAAAAAACGACATAATTTGTGTTGAGTCTTCGCCTCTTCTGTATTCCGAGCCAAAACCTCCCATAAACTGTATAAAAGCTTCTGCAAGTTTTATAAGGAGAAATGGTCTTGGAATAATTCATTGAAATATTAGAAGTTTACCTCATAAGAATAAAATGGATCACTTAAAAGTTCTGATTGCAGCTGCATTGCACCTGACCCAGATACAAAAATCAATATTTAAGATCAATAAATGAATCTTAACAGAGACATGGCTGAAACACCTCACAAGTGATGCAGAAATAGCTTTTAAATAACTTCACTCTATATAGAACTGACAGATCATTGAGAGGAGGCAGAGTAGCTATTTTTATAAGAGGAAACATCCAAGCTAGATTACTGGTTGCAGTGTTGAAAGAATGTTTCGAGTTTCCAGCTTTAAAGGTGTCCCTAGGGAAAATGACTCTTTTGTATTAGTAGGGATCTACAGGTCTCCTTCTGCTCCATCTTCTGCAATGGACACAATAGCTGAGCTTCTATTGTGCTATATTGCTTTAGAAATGCTGGTCCTGGGGGATTTTTATCTAAACTGGTTGTCTAATGCATTTGATCACTTATATGTGGGAATCTTACCCTCACACAGTTAATCACTGAGTCAACTCGCCCAAACCTAAAGGATCCTAACAAAAGTACCCTGAATGATTTCATTTTGTCCAACAGAATGGACAAAATTACTGCCTCAGGAGTTTTTGATCTTGGTTACAGTGACTCAATCGGATGCATCAGAATTACTCCTAATAGACTTTACATTCAAAATTCCTGACATTGATTTAGCACGAGAGCATTTTAGCAAGTCATTCCTAGCAGTGGCAAACAAACATGCCCCCCACAAAAAGCTAAGAATAAGAGATAGATTGAGTCCCTTTTTTACCAGTGAAATTTCCTCCTTGCTCACAGCAAGAAATAAAGCTTGGATTGTTGCCAGATGCACAGGGGAGAGAGGGAACTTGCTTACATTTAGGTAACTGAGAAAAAAAACGTACCTCTGCCATTAGAAATGCCAAATCAAATTACTGTCAATCAATTTGTAGTTTATCAGAATGAACCGTACCAAGCTTTTAATTTACATTTTTCTGTATAAATTCAGAAATTTTCGGTCATAAATTCAGAAACACTGACGTAAACCTGCCTTTGTATCAGTCTGACTTCACTTCTACTGCTACCCAGAGCCACAGACTCTTCATCCTCCAGAGTCTTTCTCTATGTATAGTGGCTAAAGCTCTTACTGCTATCGATCCACAAAAACCTACAGGTGAGGCCAGTTAAGACCCCTGTTTTCTACATCAGGCACCCCAGGTTATTTTAGAACATTACATTAGATACATTTGTAATCTTTCTATTTTATCTTGTAGAATTCCCAGTATCTGGAAAACAAATCTAAATATAGACCAATCTCAAAATTGCCATGTTTAGCTAAAATTTTAGAACCTTTAGTGAATAACCAACTGAAATAATTTATTTATATAAAATCTGTCCTGTAACTTTCAGTCTGGCTTTAGAGAAAAACACAGTGCCATCTCTGCAACCACACTGGTTTTGACACTGTCGACCACAGTCTTACTTTGCGATGCTTACAAATGATCAGCTTTAACAATAATGCAATGCAATAGGCCCAACATGACCTCTCAGACAGATAATAGTATGTGGCACTGGATAACCATATATCAGATTTAACTCCCATAACCAAGGGAATCTCACAAGGCTAAATCCTGGGTCCAGTTTTATTTATCTATATGTAAAATGATCTCACTGCCTCTACACTCCACACTCCACAGTGCAAAGTGCACTTCTATACAGATGACACAATTTAATTTAACTAATTTAACTCCTTACAGAGCATTCTCCAAGCACAAATTAGTTTTACATGTGAATAAAAATAAGTTTTTGCGCTTCTACGGATCTTCAATCATTGATTTTAATACTGTGAATATTTCTACCCTGACAGGATCCAGCATTGACAGAGTCAGAGAGTATAAGTACCTTGGCATTTGGCTGAGGAGCTTCCGTTTACATTTCATATTAATAAACTAGTCAGTAAGTGCAGACAGAGACTCGGATTCCTACATCAAAATAAATCTTGTCTGCCTATGTATGCCAGAAAAAGAGTCATGGGGGCAACCTTATTATCAGTACTAGACTACAGTGATGTAGCTTACAGACATGAGTCTGCCAGTACCCTCAAACCACTGGACTCAATCTATCACTCTGCTTTGCAATTTATTACTGGCAAGCCTTACAACACTCACCACTGCAGACTGTATGATAAAGTTGGTTGGTCCTCACTAGCAGCGCGACAGGAAACACTGGATTATTTTTATTCATAAAACACTCTCCGGCCATATGCCAGTTTATATGTCATCTGTGATCTCTATAAATAACAGTAATTTTCAGACTCGCTCTAGTGACGGAATTAGGTGTCAGGAAAATTTGGTTTGGGCTACAGCGAACCAGTGAGCTGGAATTCATCACATGAGTCTCTAAAACTCAGCTCGCTGGTGTCACTTAATCATTTTGAACTTTTGGTGTCTTATTATCTTTGCTGCTTGCATGATTGATTGCTTGCTTGCTTGATTGATTGATTGACTGATCAATTGATTGATCGATTGATTGGTTGTGCCCAGGAGCCTATAACTTGATGATCTGGGCCTGCAGCAAATATAAACGTCATGCTGCAGCTTTTTTTTAAAACTTGGAATCACTTTACAGGCATGAATATACAGCATCTGAAAGATGAAGGACATTCAAATTCTTTACTTAATCAAACATGCAGTTGGTTTCAGCTTTGCTCCAAATATGTTTTGTTGCAATTTTGTGGGTACTGTGTTAAATCCTGCTAGCTGTTTTCAGTTTAGCTCTGCCCTCTGTTTGCGTCCATGCTCAAAATAAATCAGATTTTATATGCACTTAAAAAACAGATTACTGAGTGCCAGATGCAAGAAATCTGAGTGTGCTGTTTACACAACCACTTGAATAATCAGAAAATCACTGAAATCTGATAATGCTCAGATTACTGGTGCGCAAATAAATGCACTCAATGAAACACCTACACATGCTAACATAACTGTGCAAATATATTGTTATTGCAGCAATATAACAACCATCTGAACAATCTGAACACATGAAACACATTTCCTAAAACTTCTAGATGTTGAAATATTCACTTTGCATTTCACTTGATCTCACTTTATCAAAGTAACACCTCTTCAGTTTTCATTGTTTCACATATTGTGTTCTGTGACTGAAAACCTCTTTCAGTCATTCACTGAGTGGCTTTATTTCCTGTCTGCTTGTCACAGACCAGTTCCTGTCCAACACTAAACGCCACAGACCTTCACAGCACGTTTTCACCAGCACAGATCACCATTACCATCACTAATGCACAACTACAGTGCATAAAAAATCAGAGAACAACTAAAAAAACCCTATAAACATAAATAAACATAATCAATGCACTGTCAGTCAGCAGTTAAAACACAAACTTTTACATTAAGCACAACAGCAAGCCAAAAAAAGTACAGATTCTGGTCTGGAATTAGTGCATATTGTACAGCAATAAAGAATATTTAAGATGTTACTCATGATAAATTTGGTGAAATGAGGACACACCAGAGGGCAGATGCACTCTGTCTGTAGTTCATTCTTGTAGAGCAGAGTTTATGCTCATAACCCTCTTCACTCTGCACACTGACATCAGCATGAAAGGAAAGCTTGTTATCTAACTGAACTACATGAAGTTACTTAATCACACAGAAGCTGATCACTCAGAACCCTCAGACTGAATATTAACACCTTCATACAGCAGCTCTCACTCTAATGAAGACATAAAGAGAACATTTACTCACAGAGTATTACAGAGAGTGACCTGAACTCCATACTGCCCCCGTAATGACTGACTGACTGAACAATGCTCTGTGTTCAACACTCATCACTTCCTGAGAGGGAGAGAGAGAGAGAGAGAGAGAAAGAGAGAGAGAGAGAGAGAGATTTACACTGTGCACTGCATTGCATTTATATTAATAAATTATTAATTAATGAATTAGTAATTTAAATAAATTAAAGCAGTAAATGATCACTACTTAACTACCACAGTACGACCACTGAAAGAACCTGGACCTGCACGTTGCTGTGCAATATATCACAGATCTTCATAATCTGCTCTGATCCAGATACTTTACATTAAACAGCAGCTGTGTAATGAAGATCTTCATGTGCAGCAGATCTAGAATCCTGAAACTGTCTGTCCATACATGGTGGTGAAGAGTCTTCATATAGCAAGTTTGAAAGAGGAAGTGCAAAGAGAGCTGCTGCAATTTCTGCACGAGCTCTCAAAATGTTCTTGGTGTTGCTGATGCTGTCAGTGTTTACTGAAGTGTGAAGTGATTAGCACGCAAGCAGCCAGTAAACACAGTTTGCTATTTTGTGTAGAGTGCAAACAGATCATCAGTTTAACTCCTAGAACTGCGAGTGCATGAAGATACTATGAAATGAGACTGATCTATCCTGTCCTTTAGTTACTTCTGTCCTTTCACTGTCACTTCACCACAAGCTGAATGATGCATATGCATGATTTATTGTATGGTGTGTCTTCTTGAGGGCTGTATGTGTTAACTTTCTGTTCCCCAGAGCTCTGTTACTTTCTGTTGAAGGTCAGTGTGGAAGTGATCTTCCCCTGGCCACAATAAGGGCTGCTTTCCTTTTTCCTCTTCTGGTTTACTTTATATACCATCTATTTATAATAAAAAAATTCCAGCTTAGTTCAGCAGTACTCTTTACAAGAAGCTTTTTTTCTTTCTTTTTTTTGGCATTACTAGGTTTCAGTTCCTAATGAGATGAGGGTTTCGCTGGTACTGTTGTACTAGAATAGAAGTCACACCACTTAACCACTAAACCACTAAAACACCTATTCTCAGCTCTCAGACGTCAGACGTTGGGTACGTGTAAGGGTTTAGTTGATAATGTGTACAAAAACTCTACTTAGGCCCAATCCTATTCTGATTTTACCCCTACTCCTTGTTTTTGAGTGTCATCTTGCCCATTTGGAACTGGGTTACAAGGGGTAGTGTTTGAAATCTTTCTCTACAAAAAAGGACTCTGACATATCATCATTAGTCACTGATGGCAGTCATCCTTTTGCTGTTGTCTGCAGGCCTGTCTAGGAATGCTGGCAGATTGGTTTGTGGTATGTGGGATAGACTGCACACACGTTTTGTTGTAGTTAGCCTAGCTACACAACATGCCTGCTAGCATGTATAACATAAGTGACTTTGAGATCTGTTAACCTGTGATGAACCTGTTTGTGATACACTCTTAATTTTCTTGATTTGTGTGTTTATTTCTCATAACACACGGTTTGGAATGTGCCTCTGAATAATTTATGTTTGAAGGGCCATGTAATCCTAACACTTACACCCTTCTATCCCAACAAGATTTGGGACATCCTACCCCTAGGAGTTAACGTGCAAAACAGAAGAGTAGGGCTAAATGGTAGGGACAAGGGTGAAATGGGATTGAGCCTTAGAATGTACAGACAGGTGGATTGACCTGGTGATTCTCCCCCGGACTAGACCTTTTTGTCGCCCCCATAAATCTAGCCCAGTGTAACTACACTGTGCGTATCACAAACACTAGGGAACTACATTAATTCAAATACTTGATAATACAAATGAACTTTCAATTGAACACACAGAACACAACACCATAAAATAAGGCATTTTACATTGTCCACACTGAAAGACTCATATTACAGCATGAGAATTCCAGTATGTTTTCAAAATCTGTGCATAAATAAATTATTAAGATGTAAACAAACTTATTCAGAGTGATTTGATTTGAAATGCTCCATTCTACTGAAAGTTAGAGTCAGTATTTTTCACAGCAGGGTTGATGGGAACCAGACGTCCGACACTTTTAAGAAGTTTAACGCCTTTAAAAACTGCCTCACAGAAAATTATCACATAAAACGGTTAGAAACAAGTTGCCTGATGTCTGAGACATTGTTTTATGATAGATTTTATGATAAGTTTTTTTTTTGGCCTAATTATTTATTTATTTGTTTATTTTTTTTATATGTTCATGGTGGAGAGGTACACGCAGGATGTTGTAAGGCAAAATAGTCCTACAAGAAAGCATTTATCACACTTTTACCATCAACACTACATAAAGTGCACCCCAAGCCCCCACCACCCCACCCCCCGCAAATACGAGTACCCCTGATATATATACACCCCTGAAATAAATATTTTTCTTAAATCTGTGAGTTCCACAATTGTTGGCACCCCTAGAAAATCTTAAGAGTGAAATCTATCTAAGTATATTCCCATTCATATTTATGTTTTTAAGTTTAGCTGAGTGATTAGGAACACTTAACTGGTCAACCGTGACTTCTTGATTCACTGGGGTATATAAGATGAAACACAGGCCGGATACCCTCAGTCATCTATTGCGATGAGACAGACCAGAGAAAACAGAAATGATATGCGACAAAAGGTTGTTGAGCTGCACAAATCAGGAAATGGCTACAAGAAAATATCAAAACACTTGAAAATGCCCATTTCCAGTATTAGGGCAATAATAAGAAGTTTAAAGAAACTGGAGATGTTAAGAATCTGCCAGGAAGAGGATGTATGTCTATACTGACCCAGGCACAGAGAGGAGGATGGTTTGAGTGGACAAAGAATCTCTAAAGATCACAGATAGGGAACTGCAGACATTAGTTAGGTCACTTTGTCTCCCAAACCACAATCAAACACCACCTATATAACCAGGGGTTGCCAGAATGAGGCCTCTGCTGTCAAGGACCAACAACTCAGGCACCTACAGTTTGCCAGACCTGGAACTTTCAGTGGGACTGTATTCTATGGTCAGATGAGACCAAAATAGAGGTTTTTGGCAACAAACACCAGAGTTGAGTTTGGCATGGACACAAAAATAGCCATGCAGAAAAGTATCTCATCCCCAGTGTGAAGTATGGTGATGGATCTGTGATCCTGTGAGGCTTCTTTTGGTTTTTCCCTAAAGGCCCTGGACAACTTGTTCTGATACATAGTATCACAGACTTCATCGAGTGCCAGCAGAAGTAAGATCAAAACCTGACTGCATCAGCCAGGAAGCTCGAACAGCACTATATCTTGGACATTTCAGCAGGACAATGATCCAAAGCACGTCTCAAAAGTAACACAAAAATGGTTCACTGACCACAGTGTTAAGGTTTTGCCACAGCCACCCCAGTCCCCTGACCTAAACCCACAGAAAACCTGTGGGATGAGTTGGAAAGGAGAGTCCACAGTGTGGACCTCAGAATCTGAAGGATCAGGAGAGGTTCTGTACGGAGGAACGGTCTCAGATCATTTGTCGTGTGTTCTCTAGTCTCATTAAGCTTTACAGAAGTAGACTCAGAGCTGTTCACTTTGAAAAGTGAGGCTGCCCAAAGTATTAAATGAAGGGGTGCCAACAATTGTGGCACACACAGATTTTAGAAAAATATTTATTTTCTGAAATTTTATTTTCTATTTTTTTTTTTATTATTGTACTAAAAAAAATCAGACTTTTCCTATTTTTTTTATTTTTTCATAAGATCAAAAGGATTAACAATGATGAATATTTTTAAAGCCTGTTTTACTCATATTTACCAGGGCTGCCAATATTTGTGAAGGGCATTGTGTCGAACTCCAAAGACACATTTAAGTTCAAGAAAAATAGTTATATTTGTGTTGTAGGTATAGTGACCCTATAATCTACCTCTTCACATCAAAATACTCCGAATGACTATGTTTACATCTCATTGATTGAATCACAGAAATTTTGAAAAATCAGTGGAATGTCCCTTTGAGATGGGCCTGCACTGGCCTGATTTGCCCCTTTCCAACAAATTTTGACAATCTGAAGTGATTTTCCAGGTCAGTAGAGACTGACGGAGCAGATGATCAGGTAGTGTGAGAAGAGACTCGAGGCAATCTTTGGCCTTCCAATCGAGCTCCAGAGTGACCAGAGGCCTTCTGATGTTTTCAGACATGTTTGATTGTCAAGTTCTGTAGTGTGAGATGGTCCAAGATGTAACTCAACATCAGATTTAAGTAACAGCCATTGCACTGCAGGCTGTGGAGACAGAGGAGCTGCTTGTAAAACACCATCAAATAAAGAGCTTTTATCATGTTTAGAATGTTTGGATCCAGACATTAAGGTGCTCTCTTTACAATTTCAAATCAGCTTTTTTTTTTTTCTTTGTTTGAGTCACATGATAACGTGGGACAGCTGGAATTTTGAGTTCATTTTTGTAGCCAAAACTCATTTTGTGTGTATATACACTCATCACAAGCTGAATGATGCATAGGTGTGATTTACTGTATGGTGTGACTTTGTGAGTTCAGCTCTTTACATGAAGGTGTCAGTTCCTAATCTCTGGTACTGTTGGACTAGAATAGAAGTCAGACCACTAAACCACTAAGAGAAACTATTCTCAGCTCTCAGATCTCAGATGTTGGGTATGTGTAAGGGTTTAGTTGATAACGTACAACAACTCTACATAGAGTGTATTTACTCGCCCTGAGTCTTATGGTCTAGTGCACATCTTCACAAGAAAAAGACAAAAAATTCTGTGAAAAATTAATATTAAGTTTGTGATGCTCTCCGTTTCAGAAATCTGTGGTGTATCTGTTGATTTTTAAAGTTGTGTAGTGTGCGCCCAGCTTTAGCTGATGCTCTAACAAACAGAGAATTTGATCCTGATTCAGCAGAACTCTTTTTTGTTTTAATTTAACTCAAGAGTCAACCATGCTTCCTGCACATAGACTCAATTATTCAGCCTCTATAGGCTAGGCTTTCTGTCTTTTTCCTTTAGAAAGTCTTCTTCCTGGTTCGGCATCTTGGCTCTGCACTGCTGTGGACTCTCTCTGGTCTCCTTTACCTACTAAAACAACACACCAGTCAAAGCCAT